CAAAAATTTTTTTTATTTGATCGATGTTCTAGAATAAATGATTGCCCAATCAAAATCGTGACTACACATAATCAACAGGAGGAAACGTACCCTATCCAAAGTGAATCTCACACATGGTGTGATAAATTAAAACTAATATAAATAATTTCAATTTTAATTTATCGCAATTGGCCACACCATATGTGGGATCACTTTGGATCGGGTACGTTTTCTCCTGTTCACATAGTCATTATACAAAGTATATAATAACAGGTCTGAGATGGACGAACAGACATTTTTTTTATTTATTTATTAATTTACCATAAATTTCGGTGCCAAGATTCAGGTTTCTAATTTTGAATTAATTAGATATAAACCATATTTATTTTTATTTGTAAGCTTATTTATATAATAAAATATAAATCTTTTTACAATCGTTCACTTATTTTCAAAAAAAAATAACATATTATTTTAGAATTGAAAAACTAGGTATAAAGACACTAAAAGCACAAGAACTAAAGTTCTGATTCTATGTTTCGATTCTATTTAATAAAGAATATCATATTTAAAAACAAAAAAATAAACATTAGTAGGGAGAAGAAAAAATAAACGTTAGTAAGAAAAGCAATATAGAATCATACAAGAAAGAAAATGTTTGTGACCATATTGATGAAACCAATAGAAAAAAATAAATTACTTATTTACGTCATATAATAATCTTGGTTTTAATTCCACAAAAAGAAAATTTCAGTCTAAAAAAAAAATAAAAATAAAAATAAAACAATCCTTATCATGTAACCAGCTTACAGCAAATGCCTCAAAGTTTCGTTTCATGTTCTATATTCTGTATACTTTACAAGAAGAAAAATGTTAGTGACCATACTAATAAAATCAAGTAAATGAAGAAAGCACTTACTCAGTCATATAATATAATCCTAGCACAGTTGCCCAACCCAAGCGATCTACAAAAAAAAAATCAGTTTTGAAAACATAAAAGTAAAGCATAATAATACCATAAAGAAAAAAAAACTTATCATACGATTAGTTTATAATGATTACTTTGATTAAGTTTTTATTGTAAGCTACGTGTAGAGATAAAAAAAAGTATACTATTATGAAAAAAAACTCCCAAATCATATATTCGTAGACTGACCTGTAATTTACATCAGCCAATCATACGACATAAAAGGTTCTATACGAGTTCGATTTCCATATATGTACAGTATGTTATATGAAAAAAATTTGCAGCCCAATCATATATAAAAATGATCTATATTCACTCTACCCTTAATTCTTTTTATATTCATCTACTTTATATTTACAAAATTAATTTAATTACAAATCTATTTTTACTGCTTATGTATAACTATATAAAAATAACTCTATACCAAACCTACTTCTTTATAATCACATTTTTTTGTACCCAAAAATATAACTATATAAAGTTTTAACTGTATTATTATATTATAAAAATATTAATGAATTATATAAACTCTTATATATTATATAAACATAATTAAGTTTATAATTTGTTATTTTATTTAATTTTTACTATTTAATAATATTATTCTGTTTTATTTCCAATTGTCAATTTCAATCAAACATCCAATATATATCTACAAAAAATGTCAATACAATATAATATAAATAATAAAAATTAAATTTATAATAAACTTATAATACAACACTTATTAAATCTTATTAATATCTCTATATATCCAATATTTTAATTACTAAAACCAAATTTTATATACCTTAATTATAATCTTATTCATATTAAATATCAATCATTATTTCTAATTCAAACATTTTGTTTAAAAACTTTTAATTAACTTTATTATTTATAATAAATTAACCATTTTAATAACTTTGTTATTCCACATAGCTCACACTTTTATTTTTAAAAATCAACTATATTAAATTTATCTTATATTACAATCTTTAAATATCTAAACCTATATATTTTAAAAAAAACTCAATATTATTATATATAACAAGCAATAATCTAATCATATTTTTTAATTTTAATAAACTATTTAAAAAACTCTTACAAATTATTTATTTATATTTACTTCACTTCTTAAATTCATATTATTCAAACAAACAAATTCTCTCTATAAATATATATATTTTCATAAAAAACTCATATATTACAACACAAAGGTCTTTTACTATAATAATTTCATATAATATTATATTTTATACTTTAAAATATAATCTAAATTATAATAATATGTGTTCACTTTATGCTATCAAAATCTTGGCGACGAAGTCGCCACATACACAAGTCTAGTTGATGTTAAAGAAAAGTACAAGACGGAATTATTAAACGTCAATATTTTAACCTCTTGGCATAAAAAGCTCGCGTAAAACACATGAATAATGCATGAGATACACAAATAATTGATTATTTTTATTAAATTATGCTCGTTATGTACATTTTAATCTGACACAAATGATAAACTGGTTCCATGCGTCTCAGAAATTCTGAAGTATCTCAATTTTAGATTCATGCCTCTTCGATCTGATTCACGACATATGCATAAGAATAAAGTCATTATAATTAGAAAAACCTTATATAAATAATAATATCATCCATAGTGAAGCACGAGTATGAACAATAACGAGTAGCAAATGAGAATCACGAGCATGTCTAATAATAAGCACATGATTATGAAACCCGATCAATCCGTCATAGCGAGTGAACTGTATTTAAATAAGAAATACTTTCATTGTTATTTACATTAAATGGCCAACCTGGTAACATTTTCCAATTGCTTCAGCAGGTTCTTTGATTACACTCAATAGCAATTTATTTTGGTAGCAAACTCGATGGTTCCTTGAGTACTTCCCATATTAGCGGAATTTTAATTATAATTCATGACAATAACCATTAAAATAAACCCAATGAATAGATGCACATAGATTTATTATTTTCTAATACAAAACCATTTATAATATTCAGTTATAAGTTTTCCATCAGAATTTCTATCTTAGTAGATTTAAATATATTTAACGATAAATGCTGTATATATATTTTTATGAAGATAAAAGTATTCTGTGTTAAACGTCCCATCAGATTTTTTGATAATAAATAACTATATATTATTTATTTTTAATCCCAACTTCATTTTAATAACAATATCTAAGATCACGCTCCGCTAGCATTACTCAATAAAATGAATGATTTATGTTTATTCTCTTCAACACCAATTCCATTTAGGTTATTATATGTTTCATCAATGTGACTCATTCCAGCGGACTTTTCATAGCAAATAAACGCTTTACGTTCATCCCTTTCAACACCAATTCCATACTGATAACAATAACCAACATAGTATGCTCCACTAGAATGCCCCATATCGGCAGATTTCTTATAATAAATAAATGCTTTATGTTCATCCTTTTCAACTCCAAGTCCGTTTTTATAAAGTTGCCCAACTTGAAACGCTCCATCAGGGTCTCCCAATTCAGCAGATTTTAGATAATATATAAATCCCTTGTGTTCATCTTTTTCAACTCCATTTCCGCAAAAATAACAGCTTCCTGTGTTAAATGCTCCTTGAGCATCTCCCATATCAGCAGATTTTTGATAATAAATAAATGCCTTATGTTCATTCTTTTTAACTCCAATACCGGTTTGATAACACGTGCCAAGGTTATATAATCCCTGAGCAAGCCCCATATCAGCAGATTTTTGATAATACATGAATGCTTTATGATCATTCTTTTCAACCCCATTCCCAAAATTATAACAAATTCCAACATTACAGGTTCCTTCAGCATGTCCCATCTCAGCGGATTTTTGGTAATAAATAAATGCTTTATTCTTATCCATTTTGACTCCAATTCCTTTATCGTAAAATTGTCCGAGACGAAATGTACCGTCAGCATGCCCCATCTCAGCAGATTTTTGATAATAAATAAATGCTTTATTTTTGTCTATTTTAACTCCAATTCCTTTATCATAACATTTTCCGAGACAAAATGTACCTTTATCATGCCCCATTTCAGCGGATTTCTGATAATAAATGAATGCTTTATGTTTATCCCTTTTAACGCCAATTCCGTAACGATAACAATAACCAACCATAAATATTCCATCAATACTTCCCATACTAGCAGACTTTTCATAATAAATAAATGCTTTATGTTCATCTTTTTCAACCCCAATTCCGCTTTCGTAACTGCAAGCAATATTAAATACGGCACTCCACATATTGGAATATTTATATTTAAATTCATTATAAATGGATGTCCACCTATCTTCATTAATTTCGACAGATGCTTGAAGGTAAATGAGTCCTTTATATTCATTTTTTTCAACTCCAATTCCATTTTGATAGCAATAACCAACATCACACAATCCAGCGACATGCCCCATATCGGCGGATTTCTTGAAATAATTGAATGCGTTATGCTCATCCTTTTTAATTCCAGTTCCTTGAAAGTAACAACGCCCAACAAGGTATATTCCATCAATATTCCCCATTTGAGCAGACTTTTCATAATAAGTGAATGCTTTTTGTTCGTCCTTTTCAACTCCAATTCCTTCTTGGTAACAGAGTCCAAGACAATTTATTCCATCAGAATCTCCCATCTCAGCAGATCTCTGAAAAAATCCGAACGCCTTATGCACATCCTTTTCAACTCCAGTTCCATTGATATAACAACAACCGACTTGACGTATTGAGCTAGGATCTCCCATCTCAGCAGATTTTTGATAATACAAGAATGCTTTATGATCATCTTTTTCGACTCCGTACCCCATCTCAAAATAAGATCCAAGAAAGGAATTTTTTTCAGAATTTTCAGAATTCTCGCGTTGGTAAATTTTTGGGAATGGATAAATTCTTTGCACTCATCTTTAACTTCGTTTACATCATCTTGTGAGATGGGGAGTGGGTCAACCATTAGTGAACTTTCAACGTCTTCCTGTTTTTCCTGATTATCTTTATATGTTCGAAAAATTTTATTATGAATAATAAATTTAATTGAGATTAATACTGTAATACACAATATTACAAGATATTAATACCTATATGATTAGATCTGTCAGAGTTAATGTCATTTGTACATGATAGGGGAGCAAATTTTCTGCTGGTATAAATAGCTTTAGAGTGTATCTTGAAGTGAGCTGGAATCGATTGATTTGATTCCAAAATATTTTCATTTGATTCATCTGAACTTATTTGTTTAACTATTTTTGTTGATATATCGCTTAAAGTATTACTGTTCCACGTATTTATAATGTCAAATATCTCTTTAGATGTTGGCCTTTTGTCCGGTTGGTCATTCCAACATTTAGTTATTAGATCCTTAATTAATTTTGGTGCATTTGTTGGAACAATTGGACGTAAACCATCGTAGATCATACGTTGTAATTGGATATCGTGTGGAATGTTATGATATGCCGGAAGACCTGATAC